TGTTGCCCTGCACAGGAGAACGGATCTGGAAAGCAGGTTAGTGGGGTTGGGAGGGAACGGAGGTTTTGCAGTAACCTTCCCCTGCCACACCCACCCACCACAGAACCAGCAGTAAAAAAAAATTGAATCCCACCCCTGCAAGAAAGATTGTAAAATGAAGCAAAATTCAGGCAACAAAATGTCTCGCTTAACAAAGGAAATTTTGGGCTCAGTTGTGATTGTATGTTGAGGACAACCTGTACAATCTGAGACTCCAGCTGTCACTGTAGCCAGGCACACAGCTTGTTTTCTTCCTACTAGTAACTAGATCCAGCGTGTTGGAGGTTTCTATTTTGTAAACATTCCCACGGAATTGCCACGCAGGGCCTCTGAAAAGCAAAGCGATTGCTCTACTCAAGTGATCCTCACCTTAATGACTTGTTTTATGCCATTGATGGCCATGTTCATAAAGGACTTCAGCATGCTGTCGTCGTTCAAGTAATCCGCATATCTTATGCACATAAAGAGGATATGAGCTGGCAGGCCAGGAATCATATTAACAACTACTCCACGGGGTTTCAAATCTGCAAGGAATACAAAAATTAAATTTAGGATTTAATGGGCACTAAAAGAGGTTTAGAGCTTTTTTTCAGGGAAAGGCTGCCTCCAAGGAGATCGTCTGGAGTTCTGCGATACACAAGGGGAACAAAACAACCAGAAGCAAGGAAAATAGTTCTGGGTATCCTTTTTTTCTTAGGGGAGGGGGGGGGGCTATTTGAGATAGAATTGGAAAAGCTGTGCTACCCGCCTACCCAAATATTGTTGAGCTACCAGCCTCCTGACTGTTAGATTAAGGTGGCTCAAAGTTACAAGGTCTCCATGCTTTGTGAATGAGGTTCAGGGAAGGAGGGAAGGGAAGGAGGGAAGGGAGGGAGGGAGGGTGGATGCAAGCAGGCAGGTAGCAGAAATGGAGGGAGGGAGGGGGTGCAGACAGGAAGAAAGGGAGGGTACAGGCAGGCAGGCAGGGAGGGAGGGAGAGTGCAGGCAGGCAGAAAGGAAGGAAAGAAGGAAAGAAGGGAGGGTGGATGCAGGCAGTTAGCAGGAAGGGTGGGAGACAGGAATGGAGGGAGGGAGGGGGTACAGGCAGGCGGGAAGGAAAGGAGGGAGGGAAGAATGGAGGGAGGGAGGGAGGGTGGGTGGGTGCAGGCAGGCAGGTAGCAGGGAGGGAGGGAGGAATGGAGGGGAGTGCAGGCAGGCAGGTAGGCAGAAAGGAAAGGAGGGAGGGAGGGTGCAGGCAGGAAAGAAGGAAGGGAGGAAAGGAGGGAGGGTGGAGGCAGGCAGTCAGGCAGGGAGGAAGGAAGGAAAGAAGGAAGGAGGGAGGGAGGGAGGAAAGGAAGGAAGGAAGGAAGGAAGGAAGGAAGGAAGGAAGGAAGGAAGGAAGGAAGGAAGGAAGGAAGGAA